AACATATTAACTGTATAGTTTTCATAGGTCAGCCTTTTTGGAGAAGTTGGTATGAGGGATCGTTGGGGAGAGTTGTCTTTGAACTATTTGGTATTTAGATTTATAACTTTTGTTAAAAAATCATTAAATACTAAAAAATATAAATCTTATATCTAAAATTATTTTTTATATTTACTTTATTAAGAAAAATATTTGTTTTGTCAAATTTTATATATAAATTTGAGTGAGTTAACTTATTTAATTTATATTTAACAATATTTTAAATCTCTGTAAAATGATATATTTTATATCTGCTATGTTTTTTAAATCAAATAACTATTTTATTTAAAACAATAATATAAGGCTACTATTAATAAAAATTAAACAGATCAATATTTTAAAAAAAAATTGTATTTTAACTTTTATAGCTAATATCTTGATAAATTTTAAAGCTATCTTGATAATTTAATATTCAAAAAAAATATTAAGTTCTAAGATTTCTGAATTATTAAAATAGCTTTAAAATTTATCAAAATATAAGCTATAAAAATTATAGATTTTTTTTAAAATATTAATTTGTTTAATTTTTATTAATATCAGTCTATATAATTGGCTAAAGCAATCTTTTGAAAATTAAAGAAAGTTCTACTAAATAAAGGTCTTTTCTAATCTAAAAAAAACTTATAAAAAAGGTTTTTAGAATTCTAATAGTAGTTAAATCATCTAAATTGGCTTGGTAAATTTCAAGATACTTGAAATTAAAGTATAAATATAAAGATTTGCAAAGTTACTATTATACAAAAGACAATCATCTATTAGTGATTATTCTTCATATAATAGTGACTTTGCAGATCTCTATATTCTTTGAAACAGAAGAAATTTTTACCTAATAAACCTTTTTTTAATTTTTAAATAATTGCTTTAGCCAATCATATTATTATTTTAATTTTATAGAAGTTGTAAAGACAAAAAATATACCAACTTTAAAGCAAAACTATTTGGTATTTAGATTTATAACTTTTGTTGAAAAATCATTAAATGTGGCAGATTATAATGAAATCGGATTAAAATGAAACTGGTGACCTTTCTTGCTCATCTTTAAAGCTTATAAAACCCATTTATACTCTTTTATTAATAAAACTCACTCTAAACCCTAACTCTAACACTAACTCTAACCCTAAAAAATATCTCCCAAAAAATTTTAAATTTTCCTAAAAAAATAGAAAAATTTCATTTTAATCTGATTTCATTTTAATCTGCCATAATTATTAATAATTTTAAAAAATTTTTTATTAAAAGAGTAATAAAAATCAGTTAATTTTTAGAAGAAAAAGAAAATAAAAAAAGTTAAAATTATATATAAAAACCTAATTAAATATATAATAAGAAGAGGAGAAAAGAGTATGCTTCTAATAAAAAAAAATCAGATAATAAATAACACTGCTCTTATTACAAAAATTGTAGTTTAAACTCTTTCCGGTACATCACCAGAAAATTTATACAAAACAAAATTTTGACAAAAAACTCACCCTTTCCTCAAACAACCTTAAAGAAACCAGGATCTTAGTGCCTACGAAAAGAAAATACTTTGTGACAAACATAGGCAAACAACAAAACAAGAAACTCAAGCAGTCTCTAGACAAGGAGGAAAAAGTTTTCAAGTTTTTCACTACAGAGAATAAAGATAAAATTTTAGAAAACTAAAGCATCCAGGAACCTGATAGTCAAACAGTAACCACTATAGACTCAGTCTTCTCTGAAGCTAAAAATGTAAAAACTAGTTGGGCTGTGCAAATAGAGGAGATAGAAGAAGCTAAACTAAAGAACGTGGAGGCAAAGACTTCCCAAGAGCCTCAAAGAACACGTAAAACCACAGCCAACTCAAAAACAAATCACATTCAAACAAACAACAAAGTAAACACATACCAAACAACTAATAGAACAAAACAACTCAACATTACTGAGGTCGACCACCAAAAACAAACTGAGACATGTAGTGTAAATGTGAAAACAACAACATCAAAGTCCAACAAAACCGCAAGCCCAGATACGGAACACGTGTCTGACAAAAAGGACCAATCAGCAAGTGACACATCTCCAAGTCACGAGAAGACTCCTAAATCTACTAGTTTTACAGAAACTGCTACAACTAATGACAAAGAACCCAAACCAAGACAATGGTCTGACCTCTTCCCTAAACTTAA